GGAAGTACTTGACTGAAATGTTTACATGTATTACTTTTTTGGTCCAGTCTCTGGGCCCTTTTATCTGACTGGTCTGGGTAGCAGCTGTTTCTCCTGTCCTTTATGGCATTTCCTTCTGCCCTCTACAATCTATCTACCTTTGTGACATGACCTCTGATTTTCCTCCCCAAATCTGATGCAGCTCTGCAGAACCCAAAGGTATTGCGTCTTTGATGAGTTGTTCAAATTCACTTATCACCAAAAAACAAAAAGCTCTTTCATCGGTGGAAACTATTTCCCATTCAGAAATTTATCACTGTTGTTGGAAGTATGGCCTTGATACTTATTTTTATTTGTAATTAATTTAAATTATTTATTCCAATAAATAAAATACCTCATTTTACATTAACTGCTCCTAAAGCTTTCAGTTAAGTGCATCTGATGCATAGTCTTGTTTTCCAAGCACTTCTTCTTTATAATAGTACTTTTGCTTAAATTTAGAATCCCGGACTGAGCAGGACATTGGAATTAATGGCCAGATTAGCTGTGTTCTCCTCTAGAATTCCAAAAATTACTAATAATCCCACTTTCCATGGTTACCCATCAGTGGTGGGTTTCAAATCCCGTTCCAACCGGTACATTTGGAACAGGGCCGGCGGCATTCTTATGGATGCGCGCAGCACGCACATGCATCTTAGCGCCTCCACGATGCTCCAGCTGCTCCGTGGAGCATCGCGCAGATGCTGCACACGCCATGCGCCTGCACAGAAGTGCAGAAGCCTTTAAACACCGGTAAGGAGCTCAGGCGGGCAGGTGGGCCTTCCGGAGCACCGTACCAGAATGGTATCCGGTGCTCTGGGCTGGCTCCAGTACGTGTGTACCAGGGCGTAGCGCCTGCAACCCACCACTATTACCCATCTTCAGAAGTATTTTCCCCTACCATGGATATGTAGGTTTGCAGCTTTAAAAGATGTAACTACTGTATGACTGTCTTGGATTACACCAGGATTTGAGTGTTCCACTCAATTGGTTTATTCAGCAGACAGCTAACAATTTAGATATTTTAGAAAATTTCTCCAGTAAAAAGGAAATAATTGCAATAATCCATATAGTGATCCTGTCTGGATGTAATTACTACACTAATAGACTTAATTTCCTCTGAACTGGAACACTAATTGAAAAATTTATCACAGGGTCTTTGAGTTTCACTTCACCTTGATGAGTCCACTGATATAAATGGATAAAATTGCTTATCAGCAATTACTGAGCCCATATTTAGTGAACTTGTTCAGAAAAGACTGTTGAAAATATTTGTTCTAAAAATATAGTAGTAGGTAAAGCTCTCATCCATTATTTTTATCAATTATCCTAGGAACATTCCTTTTTAAAATATAAGCTTTCATCTTTTAGCAACAATCATGCTGGGGAACATCAATGAGCATTGCTTACTGCAAAGAACAGAGATCCTATTTCAAAGTTTATTTTGCATTGCAACATTATTCAACTGGGAAAATGTATGGTGTATGTATGTATGGTATCAAGAGTAAACATATGATAAACACATTCACAAATGCACACAGCAGAGGTGAGTTGCAAATCCCGGCACTACAGGTTTGTTTATGTCCCTGCGTCTCCTGCCATCACCACTACCAGTTTGCCTGAATAGGCCAAACCAGGAGCAACCCACCGTTGGCACACATCTCTAGCACACACAGACATTTTCACATAATAACAAAAACTATCCAGATGAATCTTAGCATTTAGACAATTTATGGCACATCAATGCAATGCTAATACCCAAGTAGAGCCATCTTAATTTGCCCTTTGAAAATAGGACAAGGAAGATAAATAATTTGGCTATCTGATGAAGATGTAGGATTCAAGAGGTTCTAATCTATTGAATACTTCCTGCTGGTTAGGAGATTTAGTTTGCATTTGGGTTTGATACAATGCTAAACAAGTTGTCCATTGAAATGTCCATAAAAATTGTATCCAGAAGAAATAGGCTGAGTCAATTTATCAAGCTAAATCATAACACGGGTTGATGTTGGTTTCATATATAAGGTAATCATTGTTTTTGATCAGTCATGGTTGACTTAGCATTAATTAGCATGTCTAATTTATTGAGGCAACTTAGTTTTCCATGTCTCATGATGAAGACAATGTATCTGTAACATGACTTCTTTTTAAGACTCAAATAAAAATCCCAAAACTTTCTAGAATCTAGTTGATTTGCAAAAGCTGCTTTTGTTAAGAGATTTGAAATACCCAAACTCTTTTGCACAATATACAGCTCTTCCTTTTCAGCTTGTTAGGCTGAATAAATTGATGTTCCTGAAGATTTGGGGTTCAGTTACTGGGCTGAGCAAAAATTCTGATGTTTCAGAACTCAATCTGCGTTCCTTTGGATTTAAGGAACAGAAAACAAAGGTACACTGCTTATTTGAAAGGCTGCATTACTATTACTATTAGTCTTCTCATCGTTCCTATCACCCATCTCCTCCCACTTATGTCTGCATGACTGTAACTTAGTTGCTTGTATCTTTATGATTTATATTGATATTGTTTCCAGATTGCTTATTTGTACCCTATGACCAGTGACGTGCAGTCAGGGGAGGCAGGGGAGGCACAGCCTCACCACTGTCAATCATGAAAAGGAAAAAAAATGTGGCGAGTGCTGAGGTTAGGTTAGCTAGCTCCTGCCACACCGTGAATGACTGCCTGTTTAAAAAAGCCTCTAAAAAAGCGGCCTCTACTATGAGGCAGGAGAACTGCATGCCTCAACTACCTCGGGATTTTGGGGGGTTTTAATCCTCGCTTAACTCTGCCCGAGCGCCTAAAAAGTCA